CTGAAGCGAACCTTAATGTTAAGCAATGTGTGTTGCAACAAAGGGCTATTTGTCGAGTGTTCCCGGATCTTCTTGTTTCTCCTCACACCCCTTTCCTTCATCTCTCTCTCTCTCTCTCTCTCTCTCTCTCTCTCTCTCTCTCTCTCTCTTGCCTCACACATCCACAACCCTCGGCCACCGTCCACACCAATAAGATTTTCCCCTCTGATAAGTAGGTGGTCACGCACTCACTCCAATGGTGAGACCAGAAAAGCGGTCGACTTTTTGTTGTGTGAGTGTGAAGCCGAGTTCCGTGGCTACTTGCCCTTTGTAAACACCAACGTTCGCACTCAACACTTTACAATATCTTTTGTTAGCGCAAAATATTCATTTCCACTTTATCTTCCACAATAACGAAATATCCAGGGGACCCGTAATGGAAATAATTCAACATTGTTTGACTTTATTGAGTTAGCCTATGTAAGGTCTACATAATGCACTCTTTGTGTGTGCACACATTTGTGCGTGCACACATTTCTGCGTGCACACATTTGTGTGCTTTCAAGAGTATTATGGAAGAGAAATTATTTGTAAGTTGGTGTACGCAAACTAAAATAACTTCAGAGGTAAGCTCATTTTGACCATGTATTTTTTTTCAGATATTTTACATTTCCTCTTCAGCCTAAAAGATCCCGTGAAAACGAAGAAAAGGCAGCCTACAGGCTCTTTCCCCTGGAGGGTTAGTAACCCAGGATAACCCAAGGTCAGTGTGGCTTATTTCCATTGGGGTTCCTTGATCCACTTCTCCAGGAGGCGACCCATAACACGCGACTAACACCGATGTACCTGTTTGTCGCTAGGTGACTAGGGGCAGAAGTTGTGTTTGGAGACTTGTCCAGACGTCTCGTCCCCGCCCAGGATTGAACCCGGGTCCTTCAGTTGCGAGTCGACCGTGCTACCGAGATTCACTATATGACATTGTATATAGTGACACAGTGACACTGAACTCGAGTGATATTTATAATGGTAACACTAAGACATTTGCTTCACTGAGAGTATTACTCAGACATTTTACAGGAAAATTCAGCCGTTTACACTGTAGATCAGCCATTTACACGGTAGTTCAGCCATTTAGAGTGCAAGTCACTGGTGTGAAGAAATACAGATAGATAGGTAACTTGGATAACTTAGTGTTATCTTAACAGAAATCCGTATGATAATTTTCTAAGTTTCCTCCACCTCTTCCCATTTTCTACGTGCGTTGATGTATTTACTGGGGGTCACTCAAGCCTTGCTCCATTACACGCGCGGTTCCCGTCTCCTGGGTTAGTGGGGTCCTTACTGATGCTTAGTAATGAGGACAGTGTCGTCTACCTGGTAATAGTGTTTCCACCTGGAAGCCTCCACCACCCTTCATCTGGAAGCTACAGCTGGAAATCTCCACCACACTCCACTTGAACGCCACCACGATTCGCTGATAGATTCCTCACTCGTCCGATCAACTCTTTAATGTATCCGTCAGTTTTATGCCGTCACTGTTGCATTTACTGGGCACTAGTGTTTATGTATATATTATCGTTTGTTTATAAATTAAGGAAAATATAGGAGGAAAACTGAATGGGTATAGCAACGAGAAAGGTTTAACGATACCGGCTCCCGGACATTTCGCCGACGGACATTTCACGGAACGGACATATGGCCGAACTGGCATTCATCACAGCATATTTCCCAAACATTAGAAAGAATAAAAATAAACAAAATTAAGAAGGTCATAAAATAACAAACCTAACCTAACCAAATTATCAGTTTGGCTAATTGTCCTTCGATCAAATGTCTGTCGGCCAAGTGTCCGACGGTACATCTGGTGACTGGTTCCCCTAGCAATAGTTACTCCAGTTCTACTGAAGCAAAACTTGTGAAGCTGTTGTAGCTGGTTAATCCTGAGTGGAATGCTCATTCCAACCTCACATTCCTCAGCTAGTTACTTGCCTGCGCATCTAAACAAGAATATAAACAAATAAGTCAGACCTTAACATACTACTTACTGTTCTTGGTTTTTGCTTATATATATATATATATATATATATATATATATATATATATATATATATATATATATATATATATATATATTCTGTTCAAACGTCATTTAAGTTAGGTCTGAAGGGGGAAAAAAGGTCACAGTACCGAGGGTGGAACTTCGCACTGAGGAGAGGAACCATAAGACGATGGTTTGGTCCATCCTGGACCACTGTTAGCTTGGACTTGACGATGGTCCAGCACGGAGCGAAACGTCATCGAAAGATTCCTATCCTAAATGCGGGTTTGTTTAGGTGAACAGGTTAGGTTAGGTTAGGTTAGGTCAGGTCAGGTCAGGTCAGGTCAGATACATCACCTTTAATTTTTTATAGGAATCTCCGGAAGTAGGGCCAATGTGACAGCAGTACAATCACCGGATAATAGCCTTTATGATGCTATAAAATACGTACGTTATTGCATCTGAATAAACAGGAGATAAGTGAAGTTTTTAACCTATCCGATAGTACATGTATGTTGAAATTACCATCTGTAACGAGTAACTAACTGACGAGTCTGAGGAGGGTCTGGAAATACATGGAAATAAGACCACCTTACTGCATAGACTTTATACCATCTGGTCTACAGCACCTGGTATACAGCACCTGGTCTACAGCACTGGTTTACAGCACCTGGTCTACAGCACCTGGTATACAGCACCGGGTGTACAGCATCTGGTCTATGAGAGACAGTGAACTGCCTCAAGATAATTAACTGTAAAACACTCATACAAAACTCAGAATCCCACAAGAAATATAAAAAACTTATCGAACGCATCCTTTAATTCAGTCACTGTAACAGCCAAGGTAGAAGTAATAATAGCAGAAGAAAAATGATAAAATTGAAGAGTATTATGGTACATGGAGAAGCGCTAAAATCCTTGAGAAAAGGAAGTTGTGTGTGTGTGTGTGTGTGTGTGTGTGTGTGTGTGTGTGTGTGTGTGTGTGTGTGTGTGTGTGTGTGTGTGTGTATGTGTGTGTGTGTGTGTGTGTATGTGTGTGTGTGTCACTACTGTGTAAATTTGGCACAGTAGTGCCAATCCTACCGTAGCCAAGGCATCAACACACCGAATTTTCTTTCTTAGGACTACACCGTTCTTTAGGGCAGACGATAGAGAGACAGACATTAAACGGGCAAGGGAGGTGGTCAAAAGGGAAGAATAAGGGGTAAGGCGTAAGGGGGATGACAGAAGAGAAGGTAAGGAAAGGAGACGGGTGAGCAGTAGATGACATGGTTAGGTAAGTGAGAGAGCCAGGCCATCCCCAGTCAGGGTATTGATCATAGACGTGTCTGTAGTGATTCCTGATGCATCCTCCTGTATGAGCAGGTGTGAAAGAGAGAGAGAGAGAGAGAGAGAGAGAGGAGAGAGAGAGAGAGAGAGAGAGAGAGAGAGAGAGAGAGAGAGAGAGAGAGAGAGTGAATGTGTGTTTATATTTTACATTGCAGGTGGGTTCCACGCCAGTGCTGTATATTCGAGGACCGTCCTAATGTTTGTTGTGTACAGAGTTTTCAATGATTCCTTTTTCAGATTGGAAATCATGCTTAAAGTAGCGCGTCTAGCATATACCCAAGATAATTGTTTGTGTGTGTGTGTGTGTGTGTGTGTGTGTGTGTGTGTGTGTGTGTGTGTGTGTTTGTTCTATGTAAGCGCTCATGCTCGAGTTAAAGGTCCTGTGAAGACAGAAAAGTTTGGGGCCCAGAAGGCATAAATAGCGAATACTGGGGGCCCGATAAGCTTAAATGGCAAAAATTGCTGGCCCAGATTCAAGGATGGCAAGAACCGGGGGTCCAGGATCAAGGATGGCAAGAATTCGGGTCCCGGGAGACAGGAATGGCTAGAATTCGGGGCCCGGAAAGCTAATAATCAGTAGACGTGAATCAAACCTTATTACCTCCCAGTGATTGGACGAACGCTGTAATTTTAGCGCTTCCCCGCGAATATAACGAAAATATTGATAATCAGACCTGCAAGTAATCAACCAGGAAGAGCGGTGTGTGTGGTATGTGATGGTTGACCCAGTCTGAGACCGGAGAAGCGGAGGCGATGGTCCAGAAATCTATCGCTATATGATGGGGAAAGGAATGGAAATGAATGAAAACGAATGCGTTTAACTGGGACACTTTAAAGAAAAAAACGGCACAATACTGTGACTGGAACAATACACAAATTACCCGCTTATATGTACTGTCTCCCTCACTCTTTTGTGTTAGTGTGGCTTTGTATATGGTCCAAGTCGGACCGAAACGTTGTCGTAAGGTTCTCTCTCCTATGTGTGGGTTATTTGTGTGTTGGGATACCTTTATTGAAGAGGTTTCAATCAATGGACCTTGATCACTACGAATACAAGCTCCTGAAGTGATGAAGGTGCAAGGGCCTGGAGGTTATTCCGGGGATCAAAGCCCCCGCGGCCCGGTCCATGACAAGGCCTCCCGCCTAGAAGTCTTCAGTAAAGTTGTCCAACTGAAATACAATCATGTACATTTCCCTCCCACTGTCTGGTGTGTATAGTTCTGTATACCTCATCTTCAATTGTCTTCGCATTATTTGAAAACGATTCGCCAACCAACGGCTTTTTTAATTCAATACAAGAGATGATATACGAAGACAGGAGAAGATGAGACGCTGCTGCACCTCGACTCACTCGTGTGTATAAGAGACCAACTTCCTGCCTATGATTCAGATTCATCAACACTTAGTCGCACTCATTACTAACCTTACTACATATCCCTATGTCTCTACACATCGACATCACCAATGACGCGCTGAGAGATAGGAGTGGGGTGAGGGGTAAGGGGGAGGGAGGGGGTAGGGAAGAGGACTATATCTGACATACCTATCGCTAACTTCAGTGTAAAATCACATGTAGGGTGCCTACTAAACACCCGTGACAACACACGAGGAACACACACAACATCAACACAGTGCCATGCAGAGTTGTACTCACCGGAGTCCTCCCTCTTCCTCTTGTTGATATTGCCGTTGGGATCTGTGTGGGCCTGGATGCCCAGGATGCCGTTGATGGAGTAGGAGCCGGGGCGCTGGAGGGCGGTCTCGTGTGGCGCCGGTGGAGCATGGGCAATGACGGAGGTCGCTTGAGACACAGGTGACATTGTGCCTGGTAGACCGTGCTTCGCCTTCTCCGCCGCCTTGTTGCGCACGATTCTGCGAAGGTAGGCGATTACTAGGCAATACTGGTATCTAAATGGCAATACTGCTAGTGGTTACAGGGCCATACTGATAGCTATAGGCAATAATGGTGGTTACAGGGCGATATTGATAAGTATAGAAAATATTGATGGTGGTTACAGAGCGATACTGATAGCTATAGGCAATATTGGTGGTGAGTATAGGGCGATACTGATGGCTATAGACAATACTGGTGGTAGTTACTGGGCGATATTAATAGCTATAGGTAATATTGATGGTGGTTACAGAGCGATATTAATCGGTATACGGAGATACTAATAGTGGTTACAGGAAAATATTGGTACTAGCTATAGCTAGATAATGGTACTGATTATAGGTTAATACTGGTACTGGTTATAGATACTGGCACTAGCTATAGGAAGATACTGGTACTGGCTATAGGAAGATACTGGTACTGGCTATATGGAGATACTGGTACTGGCTATATGGAGATACTGGTACTGGCTATATGGAGATACTGGTACTGGCTATATGGAGATACTGGTACTGGCTATATGGAGATACTGGTACTGGCTATATGGAGATACTGGTACTGGCTATATGGAGATACTGGTACTGGCTATAGGAAAATACTGGTACTGGCTATAGGAAGATACTGGTACTGGCTATATGGAGATACTGGTACTGGCTATAGGAAGATATTGGTACTGGCTATAAGAAAGATGCTGGTACTGGCTATAAGAAGATACTGGTACTGGCTATAGGTAGATGCTGGTACTGGCTATAGGGAGATACTGGTACTGGCTATAGGAAGATACTGGACTGGCTATAGAAAGATACTGGTACTAGTTATAGGAAGATACTGGTACTGGCTATTGGCTATAAGGACATACTGGTACTGGGTATAGGAAGATACTGGTACTGGCTATATGGAGATACTGGTACTGGCTATAGGAAGATATTGGTGCTGACTATAGGAAGATATTGGTACTGGCTATAAGAAGATACTGGTACTGGCTATAAGATACTGGTACTGGCTATAGGAAGACACTGGTACTGGCTATAGGGAGATACTGGTACTAGCTATATGAAGATATTGGTACTGGCTATAGGAAGATATTGGTACTGGCTATAGGAAGATACTGGTACTGGCTATAGGAAGATACTGGTACTGGCTATAGGAAGATAATGGTACTGGCTATAGGGAGATACTGGTACTGGCTATAGGAAGATATTGGTAATGGCTATAGATACTGGTACTGGCTATGAGGAGATACTGGTACTGGCTATAGGGAGATACTAGCACTGGCTATAGGAAGATACAGGTACTGGCTACAGAGAGATATTGGTACTGGCTATAGGAAGGTACTGGTACTGGCTATAGGGAGATACTGGTACTGGCTATATGGAGATACTGGTACTGGCTATAGGGAGATAATGGTACTGGCTATAGGGAGATACTGGTACTGGCTATAGGAAGATACTGGTACTGGCTATAGGGAGATACTGGTACTGGATATAGGGAGGTACTGGTACTGGCTATAGGAAGATATTGGTACTGGCTATAGGGAGATAATGGTACTGGCTATAGGAAGATACTGGACTGGCTATAGGAAGATACTGGTACTGGCTATAGGGAGACACTGGTACTAGCTATATGGAGATACTGGTACTGGATATAGGGAGATACTGGTACTGGCTATAGGGAGATACTGGTACTGGCTATAGGGAGATACTGGTACTGGCTATAGGAAGGTACTGGTACTGGCTATAGGGAAATACTGATACTGGCTATAGGAAGATACTGGTACTGGCTATAGGGAGATACTGGTACTGGCTATAGGAAGATACTGGTACTGGCTATAGAGAGATACTGGTACTGGCTATAGGAAGATACTGGACTGGCTATAGGAAGATACTGGACTGGCTATAGGAAGATACTGGTACTGGCTATAGGAAGATACTGGACTGGCTATAGGAAGATACTGGACTGGCTATAGGAAGATACTGGTACTGCCTATAGGAAGATACTGGTATTGTCTATAAAGATATACTGGTACTGGCTATAGGAAGATATTGGTACTGGTTATAGGAAGATACAGGTACTGGCTACAGAGAGATATTGGTGCTGGCTGTAGGGAGATATTGGTACTAGCTACAGGAAGATGCTGGCACTGGTTGTAGGAAGATACTGGTACTAGCTATAGGGAGACGCTGGTACTGGCTATAGAGAGATACTGCTACTTGCTATAGGGAAATACTGGTACTGGCTATAAGGAGATACTGGTACTGGTTATAAGAAGATACTGGTACTGGCTATAGGGAGATACTTGTACTGGCTATATTGAAGCTACTGGTACTGGCTATAGGGAGATACTGGTGCTGGTTGTAGGGAGATACTGGTGCTGGTTGTAGGGAGATAATGGTGCTGGTTGTAGGGAGATACTGGTACTAGTTATAGGTAGACCCTGGTATAGGTAAACACTGGTTATAGGTAGACACTAGTACTGGTTATACATAGTGCTGGTGGAGATTGGATGGTGGTTACAGCTACATGCTAGCGTAATTACGTGTATAACTAAATGGTTAGGGTACGGCTAGATGGTTGTTACTATCGCCTCTTGAGGTGGCACTGGTGTATATTTCCATCAATATTGTGTTATTCAGTGAGAGTGGACATGGCAGCCAACATTACCAGATACCGGCTCTTTATTAGAGCCGAGGAGGATTTCCGTTATTCATAATTGAGCTCTTCGTGTGTAGAATTTGGGACAGAGTAGCCATGTCTGGGCTGACAATAAAGTAATTGAGCCCAGAGGGCGTGTTATGACCTCAGTTATGATCCCAGACAGGGTGTTTTGAGTCCAGTTCCAAAGAAAGACAGGGAAAGGAGCAGGTACTATATAACCCACCGCCAAATGACATGGGACCAAGTCGGTAACATGATTACAGTGGTTATTACTATACACGAGTGTGCATCGCTTAATCCCTGTACATCATTTAGCTCAAGGGGTGATACAGGCTCGATCCTTCGTCAGCAATTACGCGACACACACACACACACACACACACACACACACACAAGAAGAAAAAAAAAAAACAAACACACAAAAAAACACAAAAAAAAAAAAAACAAAAAAAAAAAAAAAAAAAAAAAAAAAAAAAAAAAAAAAAAAAACAAGCGCGCGCGCTACCTAACTCTACTCACATAATTGCCATGAGGCCATCATATTAGTGATCGATGCCATGAATGGTGCTATGGTACTTGGCATAGTAGACTTGAGTCACGGTGGAAAACAGTAAGTGATTATCTGGAAGGTGGTGTGGGAATGGGCAAGGGCTGCGAGAGGGGTCCTGCAAGGATCAGGACTGGAACCGGTTCTAGTCCTTGTATACGTCAGTGATATGACGAATATGAAGTTAAATGTATACCTATTTGCTATGGTGCACATGAACCATGGTGGACTTGAACCATTGTGGTGAAAATGACAGACACGATGAACCTTAGACAGTGAGGAAACATGCATTGCAAAACTGAAAAGAAAATACGAAGGCTCCTCACACATCATAATGTTTGGATAAAGTGCTATAAACCCTGATGAGCAAAGGCTTAACCTCGACAAGTTAACAAACGCTTAATGCACTGAAAGTGTTTACTAGAACAACGTTTCGCTCACCAGTGAGTTTCAACAGGTGCATCAACCCACCCTTTGTGATGAACATAAATGAAAAGTTAGAAGTTTTTTAAAGATGAGGCTAGTATATTGTACACCCTTTAGCCATCCTGTGGACGGTAGTGGCTAGTATATTGTACACCCTTTAGCCATCCTGTGGACAGTAGTAGCTAGTATATTGTACACCCTTTAGCCATCCTGTGGACAGTAGTAGCTAGTATATTGTACACCCTTTAGCCATCCTGTGGACAGTAGTGGCTAGTATATTGTACACCCTTTAGCCATCCTGTGGACGGTAGTGGCTAGTATATTGTAAACCCTTTAGCCATCCTGTGGACAGTAGTGGCTAGTATATTGTACACCCTTTAGCCATCCTGTGGACGGTAGTGGCTAGTATATTGTACACCCTTTAGCCATTCTGTGGACAGTAGTGGCTAGTATATTGTAAACCCTTTAGCCATCCTGTGGACAGTAGTGGCTAGTATATTGTACACCCTTTAGCCATCCTGTGGACGGTAGTGGCTAGTATATTGTAAACCCTTTAGCCATCCTGTGGGCAGTAGTGGCTAGTATATTGTACACCCTTTAGCCATCCTGTGGACGGTAGTGGCTAGTATATTGTACACCCTTTAGCCATCCTGTGGACGGTAGTGGCTAGTATATTGTACACCCTTTAGCCATTCTGTGGACAGTAGTGGCTAGTATATTGTAAACCCTTTAGCCATCCTGTGGACAGTAGTGGCTAGTATATTGTACACCCTTTAGCCATCCTGTGGACGGTAGTGGCTAGTATATTGTACACCCTTTAGCCATCCTGTGGACGGTAGTGGCTAGTATATTGTACACCCTTTAGCCATCCTGTGAACGGTAGTGGCTAGTATATTGTACACCCTTTAGCCATCCTGTGGACAGTAGTGGCTAGTATATTGTACACCCTTTAGCCATCCTGTGGACAGTAGTGGCTAGTATATTGTACACCCTTTAGCCATCCTGTGGACAGTAGTGGCTAGTATATTGTACACCCTTTAGCCATCCTGTGGACGGTAGTGGCTAGTATATTGTACACCCTTTAGCCATCCTGTGGACGGTAGTGGCTAGTATATTGTACACCCTTTAGCCATCCTGTGGACAGTAGTGGCTAGTATATTGCACACCCTTTAGCCATCCTGTGGACAGTAGTGGCTAGTATATTGTACACCCTTTAGCCATCCTGTGGACAGTAGTGGCTAGTATATTGTACACCCTTTAGCCATCCTGTGGACGGTAGTGGCTAGTATACTGTACACCCTTTAGCCATCCTGTGGACGGTAGTGGCTAGTATATTGTACACCCTTTAGCCAT